CATAAAATACTGTACATGTAGCTACTCATTATCATTCTGTTGGAACAGCTTAAGTAACAATAGCAAATACACAAAGGAAACCATGTTTTTTTATGTCTAACAATAATTGAATAAATGAAGGACAATGTAAAGTAATGGTCTGAGTAAGAAGYAGGGMAGSAATGGAATGCAAGAAGGTGYTAATTGTGTATTGTATAATCCATCCATCTCATTGGTTAAAACATTAAAATCCAACATACATGTAACTTCACATTTTCTAATATTTTGTTTAATAGTATCTATTCAATATTAATTCAGCAATTCTGTGTAGGGAACAAGCAAATTAGAAGCATCTTTGGTTATTGTTTTGAGTGCTTATGATTGGACAAGATCTTATTACAAAAGAAACTTTGTTTCAAAAGAGAGTTTATCCAAATTTTATTTTAAAAATGTGTTACAGTTGATACATTGTATATAATCAGTGTGAAAACCAAGACATTCATATGTGGGGAAGTTGCAGTTGTCGTAGAACAATAGAGAGTTGCCTAGTTCTTACACTGTTACTTGATAAAGAACTTTCTATTGTTGAACTTTCTATTGTTGAATGATAGTGACTAATAGTCATTATTAAAATAAAAACTATTTGTTTAGTAACTATTTAGGTTTAATTAGTGTAATCACTCTATTACATATCTTTAAATACTAACTTTAATTTGCAGAAACAAATAATCAAAATACCAAATATTAATTTTAGAATTTTTTACTAATATCAGCCTTATAAACTTGAAAAATATCTACAGTTAGAGTTTACCTAGCCTACATGTTGAATATAACAGCAGGTTTTGTTTGACTGCACTCGGCTTAGATTATTTGTATTTCTTGATCAAAAACATTAGTCAATAAGCACTTGAAATTGAGGATATTTTTGAAGGCTAAACAGTGAAAATATTTATAGCTACTGAATTAAAAAACTGCATAATAAAATAAATATGAATAAAATAAAATATGCTATGCATACAATATGAACAATGCACACACAATGTACACAAAAGGGAAGGGAGTAGGGGCAGTAGTGTCTTCAAAAACTACGAGATAATCGCAAGTATAAAAAGTTCAAAAAGAAATACATATATTGGGATAAGTACAGGACTCACAAACCCACATGTACCCACATGATCCCACTTTATATAACGCATTTTTTATTTATTTGATGTCTTTTTACTCAGAATGAGCCTCAACCTACAGATGAACCATTTCCAGATATGAAAACTAGTGAACAGCCGTCACCGATCAAAAAACCTGAGCCAATGTCTGGCAAACAATCTCCTGTATCTTCCCCCTTAAAGTATGACAGAACAGAACCAGTGAAGAGAGGAACCCCTAAGAAGAAGACTGCGCTAGAGCGCTACAACAATTCACYGAAAAAGRTTGGTGCTTTTGGCTCTCCAGAGAAACCACTCACCCAAACAACTCTAAACAAGGAAAGCTTCTCGCCAAAAAAGTTAATGACAAGTAGCGACAAGAGGATTGATGATAATTCCAGTCATAATCCACCACTACATGCCAGTCAAACCGACAGCTATGGTAGGCTTCAGTGTAATAAGGTTGTTGTTGGGTTTAGYCATTCACAGTTAGCCTATCTTGAGGGTATAGAAGAGGAAGGTGACGAGTGTTCATCAAGGTACATTGATACTTTGCTTGGTTTTGTTACTGCGTACTGCAAGCCATCTCCCGATTTGTGTTTCCGTGTCCTCAGTGAAAYACTTCTAAAGTCTCAAGACAATGCTGTTTCGCTGAAGGCGTTTGGTGCATTAAAACAAATCCAGACTATCCACCCTGTTGTACCAGARCAAATGGGAAAAAGTGTCACTTTTGAGTTTCTTGAGGAGGTTGYCAAGAGACTAGAGATGTCTGGATGCAAATGTAAGAACTACCAAGACACCAAATGCCCTAGTAGTCTCTGCTTAAAGGCAGGAAATGCATTGAAAGCTTTGACTTTCATAGTGGACGTGATGGAGAAAGAGGTCAAACGAAAAATGTCACCAAACAAAACKATTGCATATCGACTCTTATCACTTGAGAGCAAATCTGCCAACATTTGTAAAGTTCTATCATGGATAACCACATCTGCCAATCTCTGCTGCAATTTTAAAAGTGTTCCAGATTTCTACATCATCTTAAACCTTTTCCAACGACTGCTTCAATTATGTTTATCCATCAGTGAAAACCCGGACAAWTGTGCTGATAGTCTTGCCCAAGAAATACTCAGCACCTACTCACAGCTTTCAAGTCTCGAGTGCAGGACAGTTTTTCTTCAGACACTGCCGTCTCATTTACTGAAAAGCAAGTTCCTTCAACTGTATGTTCAACTCTTCTGTGAAATGCCCGAGCCTTGCGAACGTGATTCAAGTTTAAAAGGAATCCAGCAYATCCTTGAAAGTGATTTCCTTCGATTGCCTCGAAAGAGAGATGATGTTGCAAACTTTGAAGCGCGAATGTGTGCAAGTACTCATAGGAGTGCGGAAGAATGCGAGGAGCATGCCATGATAATTGCTTCGTCTTTGCAAAGCTACATGTTTTCCCATCACAAGAAGCTCAAGAGTTCTCCCAAGAAATTAGCCCTGAACAGAGATGGTCCTGAAAAAGTTAATAACGTCAATGACGAGCGACATCTATCGTTAATTGATAAAGATGAAATTGTGAACATGGGGGATAAAGTTCAAATCTTTGCAGGGAGAATGTTAAGTCTTTCTCCTTCCCTTACCGACAGAACCATGCATCTAGTAGAACTCCTTTCAGATATGAGACTTTGGGACCCTTGGTAAGCACACAGTTTAATTGTCAGATTGTATTACATAGTTATCGAGTTATTGACCAACGAGACAAAATTGACGTTTGGTAGAGTGTCGGCTCTCAAGTTGAATAGACTGTATCTGAGAATACAATTGGGTCGTTGTTCAGCAATGATTCCAAATCCAAATTTCAGATCTAATTAACAATTAGACCTCGCGGTCGAGGGGACTACGAGCTAATAGCCCATGAGGCCGAGTCCGCGAGGCCGAATGGGCTATTAGCTCGTAGTCCACGAGGCCGAGAGGTCTAATTGTTTTAGCATAAACATACTAATCGGTCAAATAACGAAAACAAATTGAAATATCCTTAAAATAATTTATCACAGCGCAGTATGAGTGATAGACCATTAGTAGAGTAGCCAATCACAGCGCAGTATGTTTAGACTAAAACTGAATATATGGTTAGTGAGTCTAAACAAAAAGAAAGAGGATTTGATGATTAAGCTGTAAACCGAGTACTTAACAGCTGTTATTGTTGTTATAAAATAATGCAATCATCACGTTGTTTTGGAATGTCAAAATGGCGAACGCCATTTGTCGAAGGAATATTGCAAGACCGAAAGCGACTATGGTACTTTTTTTTGGCAAACAAAATTTTGCTTTTTGGATTTACTCTGCATAGATTTACTGCATACATCAGTTGTTATTTCTCATCAATTACCAAATATGGCTACTTTCGGTCAAGCAATCGCCGTTCGACAATTGACATTCGCTATTTTATCAAACAGCATTTTTGAAATAGGTATACACTCGTTTGCAAAAAAAAGACAAGAAAAAAGACTTTATATATTCAAATCATTTTTCCAAACGAGTGTAAATAGAGATAATAATATAGCGATACTCAATGTTTATCAACAAACTAATGATCATAATGGCGTTTCACAAGTCGCTTTGTTTTAACAGGCAATCGGCTTCTGGTTTGTACATGAAAGACTAAGGCTAACGTCGCATTGAGTATCGCTATAGTGCTAATATCATTGAAAAATTACCATGGCTATATTCTTCGTAGTGTTTCATAATCGTATTAATACACTGTTACAGTTACTGTTATTGTTATGTTATGCATACTTAACTTGTTTATGGATTTGAAAATTCATTTTGAATGGCAGACTTGTATCTTTTGGTTTCTAGTGACCTCACGTTGGTGGTTCAATGACAGACCATACTTTACTGTATTAAGAGAATGAGTCTATACTTCACAACATGCTGGACGCCGGTCTCTGTCTTTTAAATTTCATGAGATTGATTAGGCAATAGACAATAGGCAATGCGCGGCCATTTTGTACAGAAAAAATAGCATGATGGGAGTTTCCAAACACTTTTTATAGCCTCTTTAAATCTTCTTGAAAGACACTTTTATGTTTCTATTCTATAAAGAGCTCAACTTTTGAAGAAGAAGTAATTTAGCGGACATGAAAAAGCGCAAGGACTACAACTTACGTTAGATATAGTTTATTATAAAAACCATTGCAGCCAGACCAGGTTAATTACGGCATATTTAAAAAATGATGCGAAAATAATATTATATAACAAAAACAATCTTTTGAACAAAAATAAAACTGGATTTATATCTATTAGTTCTGTGACTTTTATTGCACTTGTAGTATGCAGTTATCGTTAAGTATTGACACCAAATAGTGTATTCCTGGACCGAAATGCATACTTTGTCGTCCTATCGCGGTTCATAAGTAGTTTTCGTGGTTTTAGAGTAACTATACCAGGTCCATACAGCCAAGAACTTCAAAAGCGAGCAATTACCTTATTGAGAATTGCCGTTTTGTAATGCAGCTRTAGTGAAGTTTGATAACAACAATGCATTGCTGTCATAAAGCACACAAAACCACATTCTTATGATTGACATCACTGGAAACATTATTGGAAACATTTTGCTGAGTGCCATCAGAATACTTTCATCTACAATTCTCGCCATTTTTTATTCCTACAAGATAATTACTTACATTTCTATATCCAAAGAAGAGGACAAGTTTTACCAAKCAATTCAGTGACTCGGTTGGTGGCCATYCSTGGGTGTCCCTTTCTGGGGTGGTGGTGTGTGGTGGGTCTAGATGTTGCGTCCACCCATGGAAAATCACTACCCCTACAATTAAGGAAYCCAATCACTTTTATTTTAAGCCTACATTAATATTCAAGGAAAAACTTMAAATGCTACTAGGACACTTCAACTTTCACTTTAAAGAAAGGAATAATGGATCTTCTGTGGATCATGCATCTACCGAAAAACTATCACTACAAAGTTCTCTACTGGGGTATTGAATATCTCTGGTTTAAACTTCATAAATCAAAACAAAGAAATACCATAAGTACAACAAGAAGGAAATAAAAGAAGGGTGGGTTGCGGATCTGGGTCTGTCCCCTTCACCCCCCCTGGATGGGGTTGCCTGGGTTTGGCTGCCAACCTATCAATTAAGGATGATTTATAATCGCAACTAACTCTACCGGTATTACTCACCTACTATTATCCTATTCTCGAACTACTTTTCATCGGACGGCAACTTACCACTCTCAAGATTTCAAGGAACACTTACGGAACATTTACTTTCCAAAAATTATTCGCTAGCTCGGCCCGTATACTTGTCACTCGCTCAGTTTTTCTATCCAATAAAACTATGTAATCTTTGTTCCACTAGTCCTCATCACTATCCGCCATTTTGTTCTTCGTACCCAGTTATCACCTACATGTASACAGCCTACCCACACAATGACTAGGGCACTTTATTAGCCACTCCCACACCCCAACGGGGCATTTTTGCACATTCACTCATTGTGCTCAGTTTTGTTTTTGTTTTTGGTAGCTCGCTCTTAGTATTCTAACGACTTTTTCCTCTTCCGTTATATTTTTACCATATTATATACGTTATACTGAAAATGATTTTTGAATTATTCTCGCGTGTTATTTACTTTTCAAACCGTATTGCGTCTTTTTCTTAACCGGCTTGTTCTGCAAATCTCTCGAGATGTACCGTTGTAAAATGAGCTCGGGGTCTAAAAAACCCTTCATATTATCAGGTNACCGTCGGCTCGTATTGAGTTTATGACGATGTTGCCATTTTATACTGCTTAGGGTCACCGTATACCCTAAAAGGGACTACAAAACTCAGTTGGTAGGAATTCTTGTCATGATCACCCTAAGTGGGACCAAAATACTGATTTCAAACCCTAAAAGGGACGCCGAGGATCCCCGCCCTTTGATATTAGGGAGTCCCCCCCGGGGGGTTTTGCTTGACATTTGTGTCTGCTTACTTGAAAGTCTTGGTTTACAGTTTCATCAAAAATGTTTAATTTTTCATTGTTTTTGCCTTATGGATTGTTAATGAATTCATTTGATTTGATTCATTTGATTTGAATTCATATGATAATTTTTGTAGCTAGTGTCTTGGAAGGGGGCTCAAGCTACTATGCTATTCCTGGAAGTGCAGACTGTCGGAAGTGCATGCTTGTAATTATCAAAATGCCAGTGTTTGCATGGGCTGATAATGGCTATGAAGTCAAGCATATATCATAAATATGTAAATTAGTTGTAATAGAGTGCTATGTCCATGAAATAAAGCCATAAAATACTGTACATGTAGCTACTCATTATCATTCTGTTGGAACAGCTTAAGTAACAATAGCAAATACACAAAGGAAACCATGTTTTTATGTCTAATAATAATTGAATAAATGAAGGACAATGTAAAGTAATGGTCTGAGTAAGAAGTAGGGAAGGAATGGAATGCAAGAAGGTGTTAATTGTGTATTGTATAATCCATCCATCTCATTGGTTAAAACATTAAAATCCAACATACATGTAACTTCACATTTTCTAATATTTTGTTTAATAGTATCTATTCAATATTAATTCAGCAATTCTGTGTAGGGAACAAGCAAATTAGAAGCATCTTTGGTTATTGTTTTGAGTGCTTATGATTGGACAAGATCTTATTACAAAAGAAACTTTGTTTCAAAAGAGAGTTTATCCAAATTTTATTTTAAAAATGTGTTACAGTTGATACATTGTATATAATCAGTGTGAAAACCAAGACATTCATATGTGGGGAAGTTGCAGTTGTCGTAGAACAATAGAGAGTTGCCTAGTTCTTACACTGTTACTTGATAAAGAACTTTCTATTGTTGAACTTTCTATTGTTGAATGATAGTGACTAATAGTCATTATTAAAATAAAAACTATTTGTTTAGTAACTATTTAGGTTTAATTAGTGTAATCACTCTATTACATATCTTTAAATACTAACTTTAATTTGCAGAAACAAATAATCAAAATACCAAATATTAATTTTAGAATTTTTTACTAATATCAGCCTTATAAACTTGAAAAATATCTACAGTTAGAGTTTACCTAGCCTACATGTTGAATATAACAGCAGGTTTTGTTTGACTGCACTCGGCTTAGATTATTTGTATTTCTTGATCAAAAACATTAGTCAATAAGCACTTGAAATTGAGGATATTTTTGAAGGCTAAACAGTGAAAATATTTATAGCTACTGAATTAAAAAACTGCATAATAAAATAAATATGAATAAAATAAAATATGCTATGCATACAATATGAACAATGCACACACAATGTACACAAAAGGGAAGGGAGTAGGGGCAGTAGTGTCTTCAAAAACTACGAGATAATCGCAAGTATAAAAAGTTCAAAAAGAAATACATATATTGGGATAAGTACAGGACTCACAAACCCACATGTACCCACATGATCCCACTTTATATAACGCATTTTTTATTTATTTGATGTCTTTTTACTCAGAATGAGCCTCAACCTACAGATGAACCATTTCCAGATATGAAAACTAGTGAACAGCCGTCACCGATCAAAAAACCTGAGCCAATGTCTGGCAAACAATCTCCTGTATCTTCCCCCTTAAAGTATGACAGAACAGAACCAGTGAAGAGAGGAACCCCTAAGAAGAAGACTGCGCTAGAGCGCTACAACAATTCACYGAAAAAGRTTGGTGCTTTTGGCTCTCCAGAGAAACCACTCACCCAAACAACTCTAAACAAGGAAAGCTTCTCGCCAAAAAAGTTAATGACAAGTAGCGACAAGAGGATTGATGATAATTCCAGTCATAATCCACCACTACATGCCAGTCAAACCGACAGCTATGGTAGGCTTCAGTGTAATAAGGTTGTTGTTGGGTTTAGYCATTCACAGTTAGCCTATCTTGAGGGTATAGAAGAGGAAGGTGACGAGTGTTCATCAAGGTACATTGATACTTTGCTTGGTTTTGTTACTGCGTACTGCAAGCCATCTCCCGATTTGTGTTTCCGTGTCCTCAGTGAAAYACTTCTAAAGTCTCAAGACAATGCTGTTTCGCTGAAGGCGTTTGGTGCATTAAAACAAATCCAGACTATCCACCCTGTTGTACCAGARCAAATGGGAAAAAGTGTCACTTTTGAGTTTCTTGAGGAGGTTGYCAAGAGACTAGAGATGTCTGGATGCAAATGTAAGAACTACCAAGACACCAAATGCCCTAGTAGTCTCTGCTTAAAGGCAGGAAATGCATTGAAAGCTTTGACTTTCATAGTGGACGTGATGGAGAAAGAGGTCAAACGAAAAATGTCACCAAACAAAACKATTGCATATCGACTCTTATCACTTGAGAGCAAATCTGCCAACATTTGTAAAGTTCTATCATGGATAACCACATCTGCCAATCTCTGCTGCAATTTTAAAAGTGTTCCAGATTTCTACATCATCTTAAACCTTTTCCAACGACTGCTTCAATTATGTTTATCCATCAGTGAAAACCCGGACAAWTGTGCTGATAGTCTTGCCCAAGAAATACTCAGCACCTACTCACAGCTTTCAAGTCTCGAGTGCAGGACAGTTTTTCTTCAGACACTGCCGTCTCATTTACTGAAAAGCAAGTTCCTTCAACTGTATGTTCAACTCTTCTGTGAAATGCCCGAGCCTTGCGAACGTGATTCAAGTTTAAAAGGAATCCAGCATATCCTTGAAAGTGATTTCCTTCGATTACCTCGAAAGAGAGATGATGTTGCAAACTTTGAAGCGCGAATGTGTGCAAGTACTCATAGGAGTGCGGAAGAATGCGAGGAGCATGCCATGATAATTGCTTCGTCTTTACAAAGCTACATGTTTTCCCATCACAAGAAGCTCAAGAGTTCTCCCAAGAAATTAGCCCTGAACAGAGATGGTCCTGAAAAATTTAATACCGTCAATGACGAGCGACATCTGTCGTTAATTGATAAAGACGAAATTGTGAACATGGGGGATAAAGTTCAAATCTTTGCAGGGAGAATGTTAAGTCTTTCTCCTTCCCTTACCGACAGAACCATGCATCTAGTAGAACTCCTTTCAGATATGAGGCTTTGGGACCCTTGGTAAGCACACAGTTTAATTGTCAGATTGTATTACATAGTTATCGAGTTATTGACCAACGAGACAAAATTGACGTTTGGTAGATTGTCGGCCCTTAAGTTGAATAGACTGTATCTGAGAATATTGGGTCTTTGTTCAGCAATGATTCCAAATCCAAATTTCAGATCTAATTAACAATTAGACCTCGCGGTCGAGGGGACTACGAGCTAATAGCCCATGAGGCCGAGTCCGCGAGGCCGAATGGGCTATTAGCTCGTAGTACACGAGGCCGAGAGGTCTAATAGCCGACTTGCGAATTACGCATCAATAGTCACACACAAAGGAATCAAGACGAGGCGCCGTGCTTTTTTGTAAAAAATCTATTGTCTTTAGCACGGCGCCTCGTCTTGATTCCTTTGTATGTGACTATTGATGCGTAGTTCGCAAGTCGGCTATTGTTTTAATATAAACATACTAATCGGTCAAATAACGAAAACAAATTGAAATATCCTTAAAATAATTTATAATTTATTGATTTTGATTTTCCCGCGAATGGTCTATCACAAATTAGACCATTAGTAGAGTAGCCAATCACAGCGCAGTATGTTTATACTAAAACTAAATATATGGTTAGTGAGTCTAAACAAAAAGAAAGAGGATTTGATGATTAAGCTGTAAACCGAGTACTTTACAGCTGTTATTGTTGTTATAAAATAATGCAATCATCACGTTGTTTTGGAATGTCAAAATGGCGAACGCCATTTGTCGAAGGAATATTGCAAGACCGAAAGCGACTATGGTACTTTTTTTTGGCAAACAAAATTTTGCTTTTTGGATTTACTCTGCATAGATTTACTGTATAGATCAGTTGTTATTTCTCATCAATTACCAAATATGGCTACTTTCGGTCGAGCAATCGCCGTTCGACAATTGACATTCGCTATTTTATCAAACAGCATTTTTGAAATAGGTATACACTCGTTTGCAAAAAAAAGACAAGAAAAAAGACTTTATATATTCAAATCATTTTTCCAAACGAGTGTAAATAGAGATAATAATATATAGCGATACTCAATGTTTATCAACAAACTAATGATCATAATGGCGTTTCACAAGTCGCTTTATTTTAAAAGGCAATCGTCTTCTGGTTTGTACATGAAAGACAAGGGTTAACGTCACATTGAGTATCGCTATAGTGCTAATATCATTGAAAAATTACCATGGCTATATTCTTCGTAGTGTTTCATAATCGTATTAATACACTGTTACAGTTACTGTTATTGTTATGTTATGCATACTTAACTTGTTTATGGATTTGAAAATTCATTTTGAATGGCAGACTTGTATCTTTTGGTTTCTAGTGACCTCACGTTGGTGGTTCAATGACAGACCATACTTTACTGTATTAAGAGAATGAGTCTATACTTCACAACATGCTGGACGCCGGTCTCTGTCTTTTAAATTTCATGAGATTGATTAGGCAATAGACAATAGGCAATGCGCGGCCATTTTGTACAGAAAAAATAGCATGATGGGAGTTTCCAAACACTTTTTATAGCCTCTTTAAATCTTCTTGAAAGACACTTTTATGTTTCTATTCTATAAAGAGCTCAACTTTTGAAGAAGAAGTAATTTAGCGGACATGAAAAAGCGCAAGGACTACAACTTACGTTAGATATAGTTTATTATAAAAACCATTGCAGCCAGACCAGGTTAATTACGGCATATTTAAAAAATGATGCGAAAATAATATTATATAACAAAAACAATCTTTTGAACAAAAATAAAACTGGATTTATATCTATTAGTTCTGTGACTTTTATTGCACTTGTAGTATGCAGTTATCGTTAAGTATTGACACCAAATAGTGTATTCCTGGACCGAAATGCATACTTTGTCGTCCTATCGCGGTTCATAAGTAGTTTTCGTGGTTTTAGAGTAACTATACCAGGTCCATACAGCCAAGAACTTCAAAAGCGAGCAATTACCTTATTGAGAATTGCCGTTTTGTAATGCAGCTRTAGTGAAGTTTGATAACAACAATGCATTGCTGTCATAAAGCACACAAAACCACATTCTTATGATTGACATCACTGGAAACATTATTGGAAACATTTTGCTGAGTGCCATCAGAATACTTTCATCTACAATTCTCGCCATTTTTTATTCCTACAAGATAATTACTTACATTTCTATATCCAAAGAAGAGGACAAGTTTTACCAAKCAATTCAGTGACTCGGTTGGTGGCCATYCSTGGGTGTCCCTTTCTGGGGTGGTGGTGTGTGGTGGGTCTAGATGTTGCGTCCACCCATGGAAAATCACTACCCCTACAATTAAGGAAYCCAATCACTTTTATTTTAAGCCTACATTAATATTCAAGGAAAAACTTMAAATGCTACTAGGACACTTCAACTTTCACTTTAAAGAAAGGAATAATGGATCTTCTGTGGATCATGCATCTACCGAAAAACTATCACTACAAAGTTCTCTACTGGGGTATTGAATATCTCTGGTTTAAACTTCATAAATCAAAACAAAGAAATACCATAAGTACAACAAGAAGGAAATAAAAGAAGGGTGGGTTGCGGATCTGGGTCTGTCCCCTTCACCCCCCCTGGATGGGGTTGCCTGGGTTTGGCTGCCAACCTATCAATTAAGGATGATTTATAATCGCAACTAACTCTACCGGTATTACTCACCTACTATTATCCTATTCTCGAACTACTTTTCATCGGACGGCAACTTACCACTCTCAAGATTTCAAGGAACACTTACGGAACATTTACTTTCCAAAAATTATTCGCTAGCTCGGCCCGTATACTTGTCACTCGCTCAGTTTTTCTATCCAATAAAACTATGTAATCTTTGTTCCACTAGTCCTCATCACTATCCGCCATTTTGTTCTTCGTACCCAGTTATCACCTACATGTACACAGCCTACCCACACAATGACTAGGGCACTTTATTAGCCACTCCCACACCCCAACGGGGCATTTTTGCACATTCACTCATTGTGCTCAGTTTTGTTTTNTATACATGTATATACAATTACACTCATATATTATACCGAAACTCCATCACATACAGGTCCAATCCTCCCTACAACAATAGAGTCCGATTACCCATGCATTTTCAAACAATTACACTAGGTTATTGCGCCCGTGACGTCACGCGGTTTCCAGTCCTTCTATCTGATCCATGGTTATAACTGTCAGTGAATTATAACAATAATAGTTTTTAAGATGAAAAAAGAAACAAAAACAAAWAAACAGGAAGTTGATTGATTAACAGTTTGCTTAAATTTCCATCAGAGACTTTGCGAGCTCTAGGATAGTCTATGTCTCTTCGACATTGACAAACGTTCGTGATTCCACAGGGAGCCCAAGCAATGACTTTGAACCTATAATAGTTAAAAATAAAATTTTACTTAAAAAATAGTCTACTTTTATTTTATTCAGTGTCACAATGCATTATAAATGGGTTTTAAAAAAATTCCCTTCCCTGTATATATATAGTGACAAGGGAGGAGACTCCGCTCGAGATTCTCTTAACAGTGAGCCCAAAACGATTCAAAAAAATCCCTTTTTCGCGCCGAAATTAAATCAAAACGAAAATTTATCTGAGACAGCATATGTAAATTAACGTTTACAAATTTGTGCTTTTATTATCCATGTTATAACTCAATCGATATTTTGACATTCAAGTTTCGCATGTTCTAAAAGAGCCCGCATTGTAGCCAAACTCCAGACTGCAGTCTTTCATGGCTCTTATCATAATCTTGCCGATGTCTTGGTCTCCTCCACCAAACGTAACAAGYTTGTACTTGTCTTTACAGTCTGGATCATTGTCGAGGATTTCCCTCAGCTTTGCAACGAAGAGATTCACTTGGTTGTCTCTCTCCTCCCTGGACAGTCCAGCATTGGGATCGTTTGACATGTCAAATAGACTCATCAAGGGTGTGGCGTATTCCATGATACAATAGTAAGTCTTGCCAGTGTCTTCGTCTTTAATGCTGGAATAAAAATGAAATTAACAATAACATTGCATGACCGGTATTACGAAATATAATCAACGTAAAAGGAGTAAAATACTCATATGAAATAAACAAAATAAAAGTCGTGATATTGCGCGGAAGAAGAAGCACAAATGCAAAGAGAAAAGAGCTGATATGTTGAGAATTTCTTTGAAATTTTTTAGTTGTTCATTTGAAAACTAGGAATTGGAATTTGAAAAAAAATGAGCTGGGAGATGGAAATATTATCCCAAATCAGGACCCTCTTCTTACCTATATACTGTATGTTTGTACGTGCGGTTTTCGATGCCTCCACGGTTTTTCTCGAGGGGCACAAGATTTCCATAAACGTTGACAAGACCCTTCGGGTCTGACTGCTTGCTTGAAATGAGGTCAAAAACAAGACAGTTTTTAGGAATGATAATAAACACTTTATGGACATGGATTTTGTTAACGTACTTTGCAGCCGAMAAACGTATTTGGTTCTCCAATGCAGGCAAAACAAACTTCAGRTATCCAAAGTAATAACCCCAAGCTAAACCATCGGCCAGATTTTTGTTTTCTTTTTCGTTGATTTGAGAATATTCCAAGCGTGAAAGCTTACGTAAACCGAACAAGAACACAAATAAGGGAATAAAAATGGCGTTCAAGAAGAATAATCGCGTAAACTCGGTCTTGTATGAATACCACATATCGTAGAAGGAAGCATAGGTTCCTAAGCCGAGTATAATTGCGATTAGAGCAATGAGTTCACTGTTCTGGAAGTCAAACGCCGCCTTCAAAGCCTTCTTCATGCTTCCTTCGTAGCGTGAGCGACAATGGAGAGCTTCTTCCCCAAACAAGCAAAGCCTTCGAGCCATTTCTCCGACCATGAAAGCAAGTAGAGAAATGCTAAAGGCAAAGACGTAGAATAACAAAACATCGCGCTCGAGAGACCTTTCTGCTAGGAACATCGCTACAACAAAGGCCACAAGGATTGCAATCGCGACCCATATCGCCCCTGATCCTCTTTGTTTGTAAAACGGTCCAAAACCGTTGTTTTCTTCCTGCTGCATGTTAAATTGAAGTTGAAAAAATTATTGAGAGCTTGTGATATATTGACTTCGACAATCGAGCGAAAGCGAGACACCTGGCATGGGGAATCCCCCATCACGTTATGCTAATTCTTTCACTTTTGATTTACCATTTACTCATTCTTGGGTTTCAATGACGCAATCTGACATCATATCCTTTTATATCATAAAAAATAGAAATTATCGCGGGAATTCATTTGCTTTCTTGCAAATATTTCCCAAACGTCGAAGACAGTGAGCGGGGTGAAGAAAAGAAATTCAAAGAAATTTGAGGCGATTAACTTCAGAAAATGGCTTCCTGTGTTTTCTATAGCGAGATTCCTAGGGGACTGGCTACAATAAGCGTATCCGTCAGATGTTTTTTTGGCACGCATCGTTGCTAATGAGAACTTGGTGACATAATTCATTGGAATATTAATTCCCGAATTTCGTTTTCTTTAATGTAAAAAGCACAGGAGCGCCATTTTCTGAGCTTGAGTCACCTCAAAAACACACCGCGTTCGATTTTTGAATTTCTTTTCATCAAACCATATTCAAATGATTGGTAAACTATCTTTAGGAAAAACACAAACAAAATCCTTTATATGCACTTTAAGGAAAAAATGCTTAA